CAGGAATGAAGCTGGTTCTGTGTGAGCTTGAGAATTAATTTGTTCAATTGCATTATTTTGGGATTTAAAAAAAAATAGATAAAAGGAGACTGCTTGTCTCCCTCTGCTCTATCACTGTCCTTTATCCAGTACCAACAATCATGTAACTTATCGTCATACTGTCCCTTTATATGCTATTTAATTGTACTCCAGGAGAGGATTAGAAAGGAAACCAGCCAAAACTGTCAGTAAGTTATGCATTTGCTATCCCCATGCAATCCATTTTTGCTCCTATGTATTAATTTAATCTTTCGTTGTTAGAGAGACAAGAGTTGTTAGGGTTTGACAAGATGACCTCCAAAGGTCCCTTCCAATCTCAACCTTTCTCTAGTTCTGTGAGTATGAACTGTCTTGCATTAGACCTTTTAATTATTGCCTTGAAATTACATTGGTAGAGACAGCCTTATGGATGAGTTGGTGAATTGGCTGATGATTTAGGGCAGTTCATTAAATAAGATACCAATATTATGTCTTAATTAAAAGTGCTATGCAGAGAGCAGGAAGATTTGTATTCAGAATGCCTAACTTGGAAAGAAACACCTCAGTTTTCAGGGAAAAAAACAAACACTCGAGAACCCCCCAAGTAATAATTCCTTCAGTGTTTACTGCTTTTCTTGTATTCTAAGGTACCAAAGGAATAATGTTATCCCTACTTTTATGTCATGAGTAGGGCATATTCTTGCACCTTCAGTCAATTAGGTGTAATTATTTTGCACCCTGTGCCATTTTTTATATTCTGTTTGACTGTTTTGCTTGTTTTACCCTGCATAGGATGAGATAATTTAGGGAGTGTATAACCCTTAACTGTCTAAGAAATACAGATTTAGTTTAGTTGTTTAAGCTCTTTCTGGTCTCTGTACAGTTAATTGACCTCTTCAAAGAGCTGTTTGACACTCAAAGTTGTGTAGGACAGTTGTGGTGGTTTGTGTTTTAGAGATGCATTTTTTACTCTCTGCAGCTGCTGAAGGAATCTAGACAAAGAGCTTAAATTCAGCCTAGCTTTAAGCTGGTCATGATTTTCTGGGAGGGATCCACCTGTTCTGCATTTCAGTTTTGACTTCTGGTTTGTTAATAGTGACATATGTTTGAGATGCTGTTTTGTCTGTTCTATTTTTATAGTCGGTTAAAAACTACACCAAATGTCATGTGAGGAATGAACAGATCTGCAATAAACTGACCAGCTGCAAGAGCTGCTCACTGCACCTGAACTGCCAGTGGGACCAGAGGCAGCAGGAGTGCCAGGCACTACCTGGTAAGGGCTATGATGCTGCTTTCCATAGGTGATTGCAAAATTGAATCAATCTCTACCACTGTGGCCAAAGAATATTTATTCAATGGGTATACCTGGGTTTGTTTTACTCATGCTGCCTTGCCTTGCCTGTCTGTGCCTGTACAGGTAAATACAGATGTAATTACATCACTGATTGGGGTATCAGTGCTACCTTAATCTTGTTAGAAGAGATAGTAACATTAGAAAAGGTGTAATCGCATGTACCTCTGCACAAACCAGTGACAAGCTCTAGCCTGTGGGGACCCCTGAGTGCAGAGCTAAATTGCCATACTGAGTGTTTTACTGTTACATATGCACTGACACTGTTACTTTTTGCTAGCTGGGGTTTTACTTTATAGGTTATAATTCAATTACACTTCAATTTTCCTGTGCAGATAGGGCCCAGGATCTAGTTTCTTGATTGTCTCATGCTGGTACTGTTACGAAAGCAGTGAATATTAAAATGCTAATATGAAATATTCTCAGAAGGTGACTGTTAAGACTCTGAAATAATATTTATTCTGTAATTTATATTCATAACTACACATATGTGGTTAGATGTCAGAACCTTTTCCATTTGATCTTTATGTCCAGATGAAATTAATGAACACAGTTCTTTTTCCCCCAGAGATTATTCATTAAATAACTCGAAACAATTTATTTTGTGCAGTTTGAAACTGTATTTGTGTAATCTTTGTAAAACTTGACTATAAAAGTTGCTCTGAATGACTAACTTTTCTTTTAATAGTTATCTGAATCAGAGTAATGTTGTAAAATGTTGAAGAGGAAATATTTTCGAAGATGTTATCTGAATTTCCTATCATTCTGATTGCATTTGTATTTAAGCAAATATCAATGCAAAGATAGGATGATGAAACAAAGATGGGGAAAGCTGTGTTCTCTTAATTACAGGATAGTTGTTTTGAGATGTTGCAATTTACGTAACATTTAAGTAAAGGGATGGGTTAAAACACGTGTGTAATCTAATCTTAATATTTAGTTGTGCTCAATTCTGAATACAGGGAAGAAAAGGTGGCATAAGAATATTGTGATGCTGAAACTTAGCATATGTCTTATAATTATTTTGTAAGTTTTTAGAAATTTCTTTCCATAAAATCACACTATTCTGTACGATACTATTTGGTATTTCAGGATTTATGTGACGCGAAATGGGGAATTGAGTGTGGGATGTATTTTGATTTAGGATCTTGGGGAGATAAAATTCAGACTCCCTTGGGTTTTTTAAAAGTTTTTCCAAATCAGCTTTAATTGTATGCTTTTTACACTAGCTCATCTGTGTGGGGAAGGATGGAGTCATATTGGAGACGCCTGCCTCCGCATCAATTCCAGTCGGGAAAGTTATGACAATGCCAAGCTGTATTGCTACAATTTAAGTGGCAATCTTGCCTCATTAACAACCTCAAAAGAAGTGGAATTTGTTCTGGATGAAATACAGAAGTATACACTTCAGGTAACTTGAGTAACTGTAATTGATGCTTATGTGAATTAAATTTGCTTTGAGAGATCTATTTTAGGGTTTTGTCCAAAGAGAGGAAAGCTTATGCCTTCAAAGAAACGGAACATGGTGCTAAAGAGTGGTGTAAACGATGGGTAGGATATTAAGGAAATTTCATGTTTGAAGCTAATGACACAGCAGTTCCCAAGTGTTTCTCATTTCCAGATTTGACTGTTAAAAGTTAGTGTTTATTTGAAGGAGAATATTTGCTCAAGAGAGTGGCTGGAACACTGATTTGGTGTCCTGGTTTCAGTTGTGATAGGGTAATTTTCTATTTGGTAGCTGGTACGGTGCTGTGTTTTGGATTTAGTGTGAAAATAATACTGATCAGGAGAGATGCTTGAGGACTGGAAGAAATGAAATGTCTCCCTGGCCTTCAAAAAGGGCAAGAAGGAGGACTCAGGGAACTACTATGAGAGTGGCTGGAACACTGATTTGGTGTCCTGGTTTCAGTTGTGATAGGGTAATTTTCTATTTGGTAGCTGGTACGGTGCTGTGTTTTGGATTTAGTGTGAAAATAATACTGATCAGGAGAGATGCTTGAGGACTGGAAGAAATGAAATGTCTCCCTGGCCTTCAAAAAGGGCAAGAAGGAGGACTCAGGGAACTACTATCAGCAAGAGGGCAAGAAGGAGGACCCAGGGAACTAGTACTACTTCAGCAAGACTTTTGACACTGTCTCTGACAGTATCCTCAGGCAAACTCAGGAAGTGTGTGGAGGAGTGGACAGTGAGGTGGATTGAAAACTGGCTGAATGGCAGATCCCAGAGGGTCGTGATCAGCAGCAGAGAGTCCAGTTGAAGGCCTCTCACTCGTGGTGTTCCCCAAGGTTCAATATTGAGCCCAATATTGTTTAATCCGTGATTTGCGTGTGGGGTTAGAGTGCCTCCTCAGCAAGTTCGCTGAGGACACAAAGCTAAAAGAGTGGGCAATATCCAGGAGTGCTGTGCAGCCCTTCAGAAGGATCTCAGCAGGCTAAAGAGATGGGCAGAGAGGAACCTTCTGAAATTCAACAAAGGCAAGCACTGAGTCTAGCAATGGGGAGGAATAATCCCATGCACCATAGCTAGCTACAGGCAAAGACAGGGAGGTACTAAAGGTGTAAAAGTCTGTTGAAAAGCCTAGTTTCCTATATAACAGGTATGTGGGATCAAGGGGTCACAGAGAAGCTGCACCAGTATGTGATGCATGTAGAAATTCCCTGCACAGCAGCACCAAAATTAGCAGGAGCTAATTAGCTTTCTCTGATTATTGTGTGGGAGAGAGAGGGATTGAAAACTCTTTCATACCTCTGGCAAATACAGCAAGCTACTATCAGAATATTCCTTAGGAAAGTGATCCGTATTAATTTTGTTAACTGTGGAACAAGAGATGGAAAGTTGAGGATTTATTATCACCCCGGGGTGGGCAGGTTCAGGTTTTTTAGCAATTAAATATTCAAATACTTATTGCTGTGTTTTACCTTAGAGAGCCTACCCATTGGTACAAGTCTATGAAAAAAAGTGTGCTAAAAAATGTCAAATCCAACAGTGTGCCCTCAGATGGGATGTCTTAGCAGAACAAGATCCCATTACAAGCAAATCGGTTCTTTTTAGCAAAGGACATTTTTAGAAATGTGTATTTTTGTTTGCCAAACATGCAGCATTTCTTTGTCTGTATAAAATCCTCAAGTATTTAAGTAGCTTAGGATCTTACAGTTACAGGAAAATGAAGGATAATTGTGAATAATAATTAAAGCATATATCAAACTACTATGTGATTTACAAAGTTGTTATGCTGCAGATGAATTGAGAAGCACACAAAGGAAATAGCACTTAAGGATTACCTTTGTTATACTGAATCTGAAAGTAGGAACATTGTGAATCAAAATGTTTTCTATTATCCTTTTTAGCATTCTGGTTTTAAAAGGAGATGCAAACACAGGTTATGTACTTGAGGTTTTCTTTTTTTTTTTTTTTTTCTTCCCCCCGATAAGAATAGGACCTGGACAGAACAAATATGTTTTTCCTAGAAAGACATGTATTTTCTGTTTTTTGCTAATAAATATGAGAGAGAATTACTTAAATGTCAGTTCTTCCCTGATGCTGTACTTAGTGCAGCTTTGAAACACATTTTGACTATTCACTCTTTGATATGAGTTAATGTTGAAAACATAATTGAAACCAAACCAACAAGATCATTATGGCAGCACAATTGTGCTAGTTATTTATTTTTAATTTTATTTTTTTTTCCCCCTGATGCCTTTTGAAATGCTGCTCAGGAGGCCTTCAAATTAATAGTGTGTGATAGAGTATTGATATGACTGATTTTTGTCTGACTGACTTGAGGTGTAGGTGAGAAATAGCTTTTTTTAGTGCTTGGGAGCAAAACTTTTCTTACATTTCAGATCTCAGAACTTCTACAAGGTGACATCCTGCTGAGCATATCTTTATTTAAATGAAGTATGTCCTAAGCTGATGCAGTGATACCTCAAATGCAGTTTATACAATTGTAGACAAATGTCTACATTTTAAAAGCATGTCTTGGGTTGAGTAATCATTTAGCTATCAGAAATGAAAGTGCCACCATGACTTATTCTGGTGTTTTCACTGGCATCTAGAAAAAAATAATTTTTTTTTCATTCATATCTGTCCAACCAGTTACATACATTTTGTGTGAGACAGCCTAAGTGTGTTATCAAGTGTGACAGAGGCTCTCTGAAACTTCGTGATTTGCTTTTGTCTGCCTTTTCCTCTCAAACTGCAATCATAATGATTTAAGGAGTGAGATTTCATTTTAGATGGCTTGTTTCTCTAACAGGTGGTGGTGTGGAGTTCACAGATGTAGTCAGAGCAGCTGTAAGGTGAACATCATGCCTTTATTATCTATTATCTCTGGTGCAGTTTGATTAGTCTGACTTCTAGCAAATGCTTTAAAATCTTTAGCCTAGTGTATTTTACAAACTGTTAAAATGGTGTCATTATACACTACAGCCTGGAAAGACTTAAGAGTTCTTTTTTTGTTCTTAGAAACTTTGTGTGACTTTGTAGATTGTTTTCTAATGCACAAAGTCCTTGTTCTGGGACAAATTTAGGAAAATTTAATTCTCATGTTTAGATTGATGCATTGATGCTTTGGAAAGATTGGAGGAGTAGGATGCCATTGCCTCCACATCCTGTTCAGACCTCATTGTGTATAAATTCTAATTCCAATACGAAATCGGAAATCAGTTGATTACTTTCTTTTAAGGGGTAAGGAGGAGGTTCATTGGTACTAAACAAAGGGACAAAACAAAGACCTTTGTGGTCTGAAGTCAAAACACTGTTGAATTTGCAGATAAATTCTAAAACTGTCACCAGTATTTTTAAGTCTTAATTTGTATTTTTTTATTAAAAATAAATGAAATTCTTTAAGAGAATGCCAAGTAAACACAATGGATAGACTAAAGCAAAATGACACTTGATATTTTTTCTTACATGCTTTTATTGACCTAGTAAGCAAAATATTCAGACAGGGAAGGTTTGAGTTTTTCTGCAAAGTAGATTAAACAGCAGTATGAGGTTAATTAACTGTTCCTGCTAATATTCAAACGTTGTATATTAATTTAAAAGTTCAATTAGCTCTCTTGGGAGTTTGCTTGCAACTGTGGGATTTAACTAAAAATAATAATTTTCTTGTTAGCATGCAATAAATTCTGCGAAGGTTTAGTTTTGGTGTAGTAAGCATAAACCAAGAAGAGAACAGTTTTACACAATGCCTTTGATTATATAAACTGTTGGCAACTTTTCCTTTGACTCGCTGTTCACAAGGCTAAGCATCTTTTTATAAATTACACTTGAGTGTAGGTTGCAGTTAATTAGTGAGCTTTGCATAGCAATGTTGTTCCTTGTTAGTTCAAAGTATTCTCAGAGGACTGTATGGTTTTGTGGTTTTATCATGTGTGGTTGTGGTGAAGCTGACATCTACTTTTTTTTCCTGAATTACTCTCTTTTACTGCAGTTTCTAGCAGTCCCATTTTCCTGTTGTGGTTTTGGAAGTCTCATAAATTATTTCAGCACTTTCTTTCCATATTAGAGTTGTTACTTTGGCTGTCTGTTAGCTCACCTCTAGTTTAACTTTCTTCCTATGTTCAGGAAGTGCGTGGCTCAAATAATTTTGGATGCCTGAGGAGAGAACCCAGATTTCCAGAACTATTCCCTATAAAGAAAATGCAAGAAGAAGTCTAAGTCCCACTGGAATGCTAGCTATAATCTCTGTAGATGTAAATTGGGGAAGTTCTAGTTTTTTACAGTTTGACAGATTGTATGGTTTTTCAATTTTGAAAAAATTTTAATCAATAGCACTACAGAAAAATTTGAAAAGAGTAGGAGAATTAAGTATTCTTATGACCTAATGCAAGACTCCTGTTAATAACTGCATCTAAATTTCATCATATGTGTCTAATATGTACTGAGACACCTAAAAATCACAGTTTGCTTCCACTGCTTAAAATGCTTAATTCCCTGGGTAAATATTTACAAAATGAAATGTGTCAGTATCTAACATAGTCAGAATTGATGCATAGTCAAAGAATGGAAACCCTGGAATGGATGGTTTCTCTTCATATAGCTGCTGTTTTCAGGCAGTAGGTTTTTTGTTCATAATGCTGTAGAAAAGAGGCAAATTAACTGCAAGCCCTTCTCCAAACTGTGAATGTTGTGGAAATGTGAGCACTAAGAGGCCACTGTATTTTTAAAGTTTAATTGTATGTTTTAGCCTAGAGCAGCTACTTACCTAGAAATGAAGGAGTTCACACAGTTCATGAAAAGTTTGTTGAAGTTTGTTAATCATATGTTGTGATGCACACATTCAAAAATGAGGCAGAAGTGCATTGTACACTTGCAGGACAATTTAAGATCCCAAATAAAAGGAATTTAAATAAAGGTGGTGATAAGTTCTTGAAAGAGATACATAGTTGCTCCGTATTTTGCATAATTAAGAGATTATTGAGGCTCAGTGGTAATTGGCTATTCAGTAGAGGTAGACTTGCTCACTTCACTCAGCTGCAAATTATTCAGCCCTCATTAGGTTAGTGCTGAAGCAGCAGTAGTACCTGAAAAAATGTCATGACTGCAAATGATTCCATTCACTTTAGATCTCCAAGCAACATAATCTGATTTAAGTTCTCTGAGTAAACAGTGGATTTAGCATGAGGTATCAGCTCTCTAGTAAAGGTTACATGGCTTTTCTTTCTAATATATTTCCATAATTGCAATTTAAAAGAAAATTGTGTCATTCAGAATAGGAGAAGAGCATATTTTTGAAATTATTAGTGATCAGTGTTTGATAAATTCCTGTAATGGCTAAAAGTTATGTTTAATTAAATAGGACTGTAGATGAGAGCACAGAATGACGTTCTATTGGTATGGATTTTTTGATTGCAATTTTGCTCCTCTGACAGATGGAAACAAAGCCTTGCCCAGCAATTTTTCTCAGAATTGAATAGTTTTGAAATTTTTTCTAGCTGAATGTAAAGGTTGATTTCTCCTTTAAAAAGGGTTTTATTTTTTTGGGAACTCATTATCAATGTTATAAAAGACTGTTCTGTGGAAACAGAAAAACTGTGACTAGCTGTATTTCAAGCACATGTATGTAGTTTCTAAGATGGGCTGTGGGGTTTAAAAAATGGATGGGAAGGAAAACATATTCTAGAGATGATCCTAAATTTTAAATAGTGTAGTGGGATAAAGCTATGGAATATTTTTCAAGCTCTATTTGATAATATTCTCCATTGCTGCATTACTAAGACCAATTAAAACTTTTCCCAGGATGGATTTGAGCACCTGCTGTGTATTGCATTGCTTTCTTTCACTGTAAAATTTTACTTTGATACTTTCCAGTATTTTTCTCTCCCTTCTTTTTTTTTTCCCTTTTGTTTTTTTTTTCAGGCTGGTATTGATTAAGTTTGGTTGTTGTCGATATTGTTGGAAAATGAATTGTATATACTATTTAAGGAGAGTCTTTAGAGATATACCTAGATAGATAGAAAGAACAAGTCTTCAAACTCTCCGAGGAGAAAATTTTTCCTACTTACATGTTGAGCAAAGATCACCTGAGTTTCCAATAAAAGGAGCTAATATTCTTGAGAAGAAAAAAAATATAAACATTTGGGGCTGATTTCCTGTCTGCAAGTGTTTTGCTGAAGTGAAGAGTTGATTTCTAGTGCATTTTTTACCCACCTTGTTTGATAACAAATATTTTTCAAGAGGCCTGGAAGCTAGAATCTTGCATCAGCGAGTTGCTTCAAGTACTTTAGTCTCCCAGCTATTAGGACTGAACCTTTCATCAGTTTGAGAGATAAGACTAGATGTCTGCTTTTTTTTTTTTCTTTTGTGAAGGAGTTAATTTGACAGTCATAGTACGTGGTGGCTACAGGTATCACAGATGGAACTTCCTAAATTCTCTATTCACTATTTGACTTTTTTTTCCTGTTGGCTTGTGTCCAGTGCAGCAGTAGTCATTTTTGCTGGTAAGCTTTGGTGCTATCAACAGACAATCTCTGCTGTTGCCAACAGTCTTCACCTGTGGCCCACCACATCATGGAATTAATGCCACATAATTGAAAATGCATGTTAATCATGTCATTGGAGCACTGTGGAGGCCTTACTTGATAATGTCTTTGGCATCCTAACTGCATGCCCAGAGCAGCATAAGTGAGCCTGCAAGGTCACAGCTCGATGGCCTGTATTTGATAGCATTCTCAGCAGCATTCAGGTGTGTATTTTGATGTCTTGTACTAGCAGAGAGCCAAAGATGGTGCATATGGAATTTGAGATGCCTGACATTATGACTATAATCTGTCCAGATATCATAGTCATCGTAATTCTTGCTAGCTGTACTGTATGTTGCTTTTGCTAGAAGTCTTTCTGCTTTTATCTCCTAAGTCTGCTTTGGCTTTTCATGATTCTCCCTGGGACTTTGTCATCATTAAAGGGTCTCCAAGACAATCTCCTACTCCAATAGAAGAATTTATCTCCAAATGTTACTGCTGCACTGTCAGTTTTCATTATTGGCATAACATGCTTTTCACCAGAGCTGGAATTGGATCTGTTTTTTATATAGTGATGCTGTGGCCAAATTATTTGGCAGTGCAGTTGAAACAGTCAGTAATATGTTGAAGGTTCTCTTGTCTGGAATCACTGGGCCCCAAAGTAGGCATTAAGGGTTGGTTTAGGTCTGTGCTTGTCATCAATTTGTCTCCCTTAAGCCAATGACGTTTTTATCCATGCTTGGTGTGCACACTCAGCGTTCTACAGAGAGATACCTAGAGATGTGCATAAGTGTCTCAGCTTTTCTGATGCATGTGGACCATGTACAGAGACAGCAGTCCAGGCAAGTAAATAACAAAGAAGACAACAGAAGTATTTTCTGCCATTTTCTGCAAGGCCAAGTTCCAATTTACTGTTTGCGTCATGTTCTTTCTAGTACCCAGAACATGAAGGCTAAAACAGACACCTGGAAATTGGTCAACTGGGCTAGCAATGAAGTTAAGAAGTAAATACTGAAGTAAGATGCAAGAGTTAGGCAGTAGCATTTTTGTTGGATGTTCTTGTTGCTGTTCAGCAGTCTCACAGAGTGCATTACTGCTTATGGAATGGAATGTTACCTAGTCTTTTCCAGCTTATTTGCTTGTTCTTGCATCTCTAAGTGTTATAGCAATTTTTTTTGATCACTCTCCCAACTGAGCGTAAGGAGTACATTTTAGGGAGATCAGGAGTACTGATTATCTACCTACACTTGTTAAAAAAAAAAAGTGTATTTGCCACCAAAATTTGTTAAGCAAAATTAATAATCCTTCAAATTACAATTCGGTTTTACAAGGCAGAAGAACAAGAAAATGGTCCTCCAATTGGGTGTACAATTAAGAGTGCTGATAGAGTTTATTTTTGTTCAGATATGGGTTAAACCTGAGTGGCCAAAGAAAGATTTGAGATCAAAGATGAAAGATCAATCACTCAGAGAGAATGGCAGTAACTCTTGGTTCACTTATGAAATACCACATAGATCTTGAACCACAGCAGGTTCCCTTTAGGCATATTATAGTGTTTTACTTAGCTTGGCCTGTAAATTAAATCAGTTGAGAACCTAATTCACAATCAGATCAATATATTTGCTTTGGAGCTGACAATGTCTATCCTTGCCTGGTGCAGACAGCTGTGTTGTTTGGTGCTCTGATATTCACCTTCCATTGCATACCTGTCAACTCTCTAGTCTCTCTCTATCTCTGTTCTGTGCATTTAAACTGGGGTTAATGAAAACTGCTGCACAGAGATTACATGAGGAAATGTGTTTGCTTACTGATGGGCACAAGTAGATTTATCCTGGAACAAGCAAAAGCCTTTATTCCTTAAAATAAACATTTTCTCCTGGTAGTTGTTTAAAGAAGAAATGATAAAAAGGAGTAGAATTTGTGATGTAATTTTGCAGATACACTCAAAATATTTTTTTCTAAGAATTAATGCTTTAAATGTTTTCTAGGCTGTAAATGACAAATGAATAGTAAATTGTATTCAATGTGTATTTGATGGCATTGGAGTTGTGAATGTGCCACTGTCATCTCTGTCTCTAGATTGACTAAAGATGTTGATGAGTATCAGCAAAACAGACTTTAGAGGATGGAATATTAATCTTGTGGGTTTTTTTCTTGACCTTTGATTTCTGTGAATTCCTGTTAATTTATGTATATTTTACTATCTATATTGACCTAGCAAATATACATCAGTATAGCAGCCACAGGGAAAAACCAAACAACAATTTAGTTAGAACTGGTTGACTTGTATCAGGTAATAGTAATCGGAATTTACTTTGAACAGAGCAAACAGATTTTTAGTAGAACAGAATCATATAGTGGGTAGAGTTTTTGTTGGGTTGTTTTGTTTTTTTTTTTAAAATGGGGATGTTCAGCAAGTAGAATAATTAAGATTAAAAACTGTATGTGGACAATGAGATGATAAAATGAGAAAAGATTGTGAATTCTGAGAATGTCAAGTTATTGCTGCTGAGCTATTGTTTGAAATGTTTTAACAAAACAAACAAAAGGAATTTTAAATAATTATCTCTCATTTGTTTCGTTCTCATTCATAGAAAATTTCACCTTGGGTAGGTTTGCGCAAGATCAACATCTCCTACTGGGGCTGGGATGACATGTCTCCTTTTACAAATACAACTCTGCAGTGGCTTCCTGGAGAGCCCAATGACTCTGGCTTCTGTGCCTATCTAGAGAGAGCAGAGGTGGCAGGTCTGAAAGCAAATCCATGCACTGCAATGGCAGATGGCCTTGTGTGTGAAAAACCTGTTGGTAAGCCACACCTTATACCCAGTTACTGATGCTGTCATGAGTAGCAAGCTGTCTGGGGTCTCATTTTGCTAAGAGGGAATTTTGGTCAGTTTGGATTAAGTAATTACAAACAAATAGTACTTTTTTGTTAAAAAAAGTATGGAGCTATAGTCTAGAAAACAAATACTAGTCCTAAACAGCAAATATTTAATTGTGAATTTGTTTACATGGCTTATTTAGCGTGACACCACAAAGCTTGTATCAGTAGTAGTCAGTGAGAACAGTGATTGTAGCATGAAAGTGTTTGTGGAGGTGTTCAGCAATTGTACATCAGTGGACATTTTAATGGTCTCAGAGGCTGACAAAACCAAAATTCTTTGTCTCTTAGGTTTGTGTATAAAGGATGCTGTAGCAAATTGTTGCTAGACTGTTCAAATTTCCATTTTCATTAACCAGTTGTCCACTGTTTCTCTTCATAGCTGGTGAGGCTAAGCACATGAAGCTCTTTGAATTTCCCTTTCAGATTTATTTTGTGCATTGCCTGTGCAAAACTGGGAAATAGCTGCATTGTAGGTGTGTTGGGAACACTGGTTATCGGCCTGATGGTTTTTGCCCTGAAATTATCAATGGTTTACTTGCATAACCAAACCATGGTCTTCCCAATCCTTTATTCTCTTAAAAGCAATTCCAAATAGTAATGTAATTGCAAAAGTGTATATGGTACACTCATTGCTACTGCAACCTATATTTTCTTAAAATTTTGTCTTTTATACTGCTCTTAATTTTGAATTTGTAGTTAATTATTTACCAGATATTTCTTAGAATAGTAAAAGATTTAGTCAGAATGGAAGAGAGATCTCCAAGTGTCAAGGATACAGTAGGCAGAACACAAATTACATTATTAAGCTGCAGTATTTTGCTATTAAATCAGTATTATATACATGTTACTGGTGTCTTGTTTTAGAGTCTTTTTGATCTTGAGGTGCTTCAAAGGTTTTTGAAGTCAAACTTCTTCAGCTGTATGAGAATATTTTTACAGTTCAGCTGGGTTTTTTGTTGCTTGTTTTGTTTCTGTTTTTTCCCTTGGTATTTTTTAAATTTTTAATTGCCAACCCCAGCTTGGATATGAAAAATACAGTGCTATGCATACTTCTGTGTTCTTACCCAAGAGTCGCTATACTCTTGTTGTACATTTTGCATTTTTATTTGAAATCAAAGCAAATATCAGGTGTTTGGGTATACAAGTTGGTTTTGTGTCTTACAACTTCTTGAGACAATATGCACTATTAACCTAGTCAGAAAAAGGTCTCTAGTAGAGAAAAACAAACAAACCAACAAAAAACAACCCCCAGAAAGCCCCAACCAACCAATCTCTTTTCCATGGAACAAGAGTCCTTTTGTTACTTTCTAGTGACTTTCATGTGTGGAATGTAAGACAGAATTTTAGGGGATAATTAAGTCATAAGTAGAATATTTGTTGCTTATACACTTAAGCTAACAAGAACAATACACCCATAACTCTACTGTACCTATTATAGAAGTCTGAGGCACATTTTATGTCATGTATGTGCAAGTAAGTAAGCTGATATTTCCAGGCAATGAATACTAAATATTCTATTTCAATATAGAGATAAAATTGCTGTGAATTTTTTAATGAACTCTTAGAGCTATAGTGACTCATGCTGAGTATTACTTCATAATTTTTATACATTATTGTATTTACATACTGCAACATAAATTTGGATGAAATTTATTGCTGGTATTTAAGGAAGCAAACCACTTCCAGCAGGGATTTTTCTGATGGAATGTGTGATTAAAGAAAAAGGAGAAAGGAGAATGATCTGGTGTTCAAAAACCATAAATGTTTGTGGCTCTCTTCTAGTCAGTCCCAACCAGAATGCCAGGCCCTGCAAAAAGCCGTGCTCCCTGCGAACAACATGTTCTAACTGCACCAGTAATGGCATGGAATGTATGTGGTGTAGCAGTACCAAACGGTGTGTTGACTCCAATGCCTACATAATCTCCTTCCCATATGGACAGTGTCTAGAATGGCAAACTGCCACATGCTCCCGTGAGTATCATAATGAATGTTCATCTTATTAAATATACTGTTATATTTTTTTCATTCAAAAGAGCATCTATATGATAGGGTTCAACACATTCACTAAAGACAAAAAGAATTTCAAAATGAATGACCATATATAACTATTGTGTGAGCAGTGAATGCTGTGTATGTATTTTCTAGATACAGATAACCTACTGGCAGTTCATAGAATCAACCAGGTTGGAAAAGATCTCCAAAATCAAGTCCAACCCTACCGTGGTTACTAGACCATGGCACCAAGTGCCACATTGAGTCTCATCTTAAAAAGCTCCAGGGATGGTGAATCCACCACCTCCCTGGGCAGCCCATTCCAATGCCTGATCACTCTCTCTGTAAAATATTTCTTCCTAATATCCAACCTAACCCTTCCCTGGCAGAGCTTGAGTCTGTGCCCTCTTGTCCTGCTGCTGGTTGCCTGGGAGAAGAGACCAACCCTCACCTGACCATTGAACTCTCCGTATTGCTCTACTCTGAGAGAAGGTTTTTCTAGTTACTTATGACTTCTTTTCCCTGTCCACGAGGGTCTTTTATATCAGAGCCTCTGCAACACTTTGTTTCTGGATATCTTGTGGCAGGATTGATGAACTTGACAGCAAGAAGTGACTTGCTTCAGGAACATTATTAAATCATGATTCCCTTTAATAGGTTATGGATAAACATAAAGAAACTCCACAAAAAGCTGATACTTGCTTTCACCTAAGCCTCAGGAAATAATTAGTTACAATAAGTTCTTGATGTATCTGTAATAGGAACCATTGATATATTCTAGTCTTGGGAGAGAAGATTGGCTGTGCCAGGCCTCTCTCTTTGTATATCTGGCTTAAAGGGAAATAAGGCATAGGATAGCTTTTCCTTCAGGCTAAACTGGCCAAGAGCCCTTTAATTGAGCTTCCTTCTTCATCCTTAATAGTCATAAAATATAGTGAACTGTTACAATGTGGAGCTGTTCTGGTAAAGCATTCTGCTTAGTTAGTAACTTCAGGTATTAATCCAGATTATAGTGTCCAAGTTCAGTGTGGACTACAAGTAGACTTCACGTGGTACTCATGACTAGCAATCAACCTGTGTTTGTTCTAAGAATAAAGAAATAATAGGAACACTTAATCTCTTGTCCTTGTATTTGGAATAAGAATACTGTAATTATATAAAGGTTTCTGTCTCATAACATTCACTGAACTCTCTTTTTCCCCTCTCTTATAAGAAATCAATTTTGCAGCTTATAAAATATTGATAGTGAGTTGTGGCAGAACATAAAACGATGGAAATTTTGGAGATAAAATTGACAGAACAGCACATGAATGAGCTTAGGTTTCTAAACTAGCAGATATTATGTCAGCCTGAACTTTCAGTTCATTTTTTGTGTTTATATAGTATTTGCACATCATGCTGATTCAGTTTGTTTGGGGAACACAAAGAATTGTTTTTAATTTAATTGTCATTTTTGTCAGGTCTGTAAAAGTGGATATTAAATAAGGCAAACGAGATTTGCTGTGTACCAGTTCATTATTATGTAAAGGCAGTTTTATATGAAAATGTATTTTCTATTCAACAAATTAAAGAAAAACAAGATTGTGTCTCTAAGCAGTTTTTTTCCCCAGAGTTTTAATGCATCAGATATTTTGCATTTAAACAAGAAAGCGAATATCTAAATGAAACATGGTCCAGACATTGTTTTAGTCTAAATGACTTGAAAAGTTTAGGTAGATCTATCATTATTCATGCTGAAGTAATGAAGTATTAAGGGGATTCCCTTGTCAAGGGCTAGTGTTTCTGCTTAACTTGAAGAATGGACTGTAACTATACCTCTAAAAAAAAATCCTTTTATTTTGATTTTGAGTGACTGATTTCTGAGTTTTTGGATGCTTTGCATACAGGCATGTAGTATTGAAAAGAAATAAAATTAGAACAACTCAGAACTTCACATTTATTTTCACAACTTGGAATTAAAATGAAGAATGCTGTTTTATTGGTGACATTTTGTCACTTTAATACCTGCTTGCCAAAAAGCTGCATTTCCACTCTTCCCTACATCTCCTCTCCATTATGACTTTTGATTGAATAGCTGACAGTTGAACAATCTTGGACCACTTCTAGGATTTCAAAGAAAATAAAATTTCTGCTTTAATATTCCCTTCTTTCTTTGACAGTAACGTCTTAGCTCTCTTCAGTTTTTCAGTCGAATGCCACTACAGAGAATATCTGAGGATTTCCACTTTTGCTATCTTCCATGAAGATAGTGCAGCTGATACTTCAGAGCTTTATAAATAGCAGCATGAGTATAAATAGGAGCATGAGCTTTATTTGGATCATTTACAGTGCATCTCTGAAAGGGCAAACCAGCCAGTACAGAATGATGGTCTTTATTTTTCTGCTGATCTTCTAATGTATTCAAAACCCCAAAATTGTATCCTTCACCTTCAGTTCTGATGAGGCCTGGTTTAAAACTGATTTCTCACATGCTTGACAATTTTCAACAACAGTTGAGCTTCCCTTCCCCACCCCCAATTTTTCCATATTTGGGATACTTGAACTTCATTTCCTCCTATTTGGATTCTTCCAAGTCTAATGATACAGGAGCTCATACTCCAGCTTTCTGCATTGTTCAAGTCCTTTTGAGATTTCACTCAGCTTCCTGCCTGTTTTCTTGATATCTGCACGTATCTTTAGAGTATTTTATCCTCTGACAGCTTTCATTACTTTTAAACAGTTTTAATAGTGGATCAAGTCAGAGTAGTTAGCTCCTATTCTGCTCTCAGTTTATTTCATTAGTAATTAAATCGTTCTGCTTAGTATATCCTTTATAGCATGGATTCAAGTATTCCCTTTGTGGGGTAGAGTACTCCAGGTAGCTGTGAAGATTTGTTGGGTGTATTATCCTGGCTGCAGCTGAGCCAAACTGAGAGGTAATACTTATGTAGAAGCCATTTGAGTGTCCTCCAAAAAAACCCCTTTAAACTACTTCCCTCTTTTTAAAAAGGATAATTCTGACTTCCTTACCTTTGTGTTTACTTTTAAAATTTACTTTTTGAGTACCTATAAAGTTAATGTGAGAAGAGACAGGGACCATCAGTGATCAGTGTTCCAGTGATTCTGATCTTAATTTGTCTGTGGTACAGCATTAATTAAAACCATTAAGATGTAGCAGAAAAAAACTTGAAGTTTGTGAACTTTAATGTTGTTACTGAAGATACTAAATTGTTAATTTCTTATTAATAAGAAAAGGCAGGAACTTCAGAATAGGAATTTTCTTTGGTTCTAAACAGATTTCAAAGATGAGGAAGACCTTGTAATTATTTTAAAAGAAAAGAGTATAAAAGATCTAGATGGAGATTTGATTTTTAGCATGCAATTTAAAAAATGAAACCTGGTTAACTGGTGAGATGCATGAAGCAAATGAAGCTCTAGTTCATGTAAATGGGATTGAATTATGACTTGCAGCTTAAGATGTGTAGTTTGTTTCAAAAGTTCTGTATAAGGAGACTGAGTCATATTTGTAGGCAAATGCTCAGGTGAGAACCAGGGGTAATTTATTTGCAAATAGATTTGTTATTTGAATTTGAATTACCCTATTTCATGGTTTTGGGGTTTTGGTTGTTGGGTATTTTTGATTAATATTTTCACTGTTATTTGGATTATTTACCTGGTATTGAATTCTAGAGGTTTTCTCATTGGAAAGGCTGTGTGTCAGTAAAACCAGTAATATATGCTGTATGTATTGATAATAAGAGAGAGTATGTATTTTATTGTAAAATTTAATGGTGATAGTTAGTATTATTGTTCTGCTTCATTATCTTTGTTTATTTGAAATCTTTATTTTTGCATTCTGGTGTGACAAACAGCTGCTGTGTAATTTATGATCCTTGTGGAAGTACAGCTTTTAAAGAAAAGTGAGATATTTTTACTAATGTTACTGGTTTATTAAAAATTTTTTTTTAAATTGCACAAGAAAATAGAAATTGTTTCATCACCAACTGTTGTAAAATCCTAGTATCTTATTTAAAAAATACAAACCAAAAGCCCACCCAAAACCAGAAACAAATAAAATCCTTGCGAAAAATACAATATTAATATTGAATTCTATGTCATAAAGCTCAAAACTGCTCTGGACTGAGGACATGTGGACAGTGCTTGGAACAGCCTGGGTGTGGATGGTGCAATGATCCCAGTAACACTGGCAAAGGACAATGTTTGGAAGGATCATCAAGGGGCCCCATGAAGCCTGTAGGTGCACACTCTAATGAAATGGTGCTTGATACTAGTCTCTGCCCGAAAGAGAAAAATTATGAATGGTCATTTATCCAGTGTCCAGGTAAGGTTTGCTTCAGTTCTTGCTTATATATGCAATAAGAGATGTTTCTCTGTCTAAGCACACTAAAGTAACATAATTATTTGAAGTAACACAAACAACATTTGCATGAGAGATGTGTTTTCCCAAAGTATTTCCTAAATATAGTCTCTGCCTACTGAAGACAAACGTGCCTCATGTCATGGATGTTCACATCTGAAATGGAATGCAGGTAGTTTACAGTCTAAAAGACAACTTGAAATATTTTATTAGATGAAATAGTGTCATTGTGCTGAAGTTATTTGTTCACAAAAATGTTCTACTGCTGATATTTTTGAAAGCTGGCGCTTTTCTAGGATCAAAACTTGTATGGGTACATGCAACTGGGTTTGCTTTCCTGGCTAATTTTTTTCATCAATGTATTCTCTGTGTGTAAATGCACATATATGTGCATGGTATAATATATATAGAGAGAGTAGTTTTGGGTTTTGTTTTAAGTTTTAGAATAATGAAATGAAATGTAAACCCAAGTGAACACTGAATGTTCTGTGTCAAAACCAAAAAAACCTGCAAACCTCCTAATACCATTTCCTGAACAAAGAAGCCTCTAGTAAATTTCTGGAAACAATGGAATGACATTCTATTGTGTGGCAACTTCATTACTTAATCTGTATGTTAAAATACGTACAGATAAATGCACTCTTAGCCTTTCAGTGCAATGCATAGTCTCTACCACTAGTGAAGTTGGATTGCATAAATGTATTCCTTGTCTACACTGTTTGAGCTAGCTTTCATTCCTGTGTTTAATATTTATTCCTCATGGATGAAATTCTTGTATTCATTGTATGTTCTGACCAAGAAATTCCTGAAATTCCACTTTGGTGTAAAATCAACTAGTTTTATGAGTTTAAGAGACAAACCCTATGAAAGTCACAGAACTAAAATTTCAGTTGATGCAAAATTTCATTTTGGTTGGTATAGGCTGCAGGTTTTGTTCCTAGGATTTTGTTTCATTTTCATATAATATTATGTAATGGATTATACTAACACAGTTTATTCTTAGCACGACAATCACTTGATGTACATGAAACTAGAGAGAATTAGAGTAAGTCTATATAAGCCTACTGAACAGTTTGTACTTTGCATGAAAACACAAATAAATAGTTTATACCATGTAGTTTGAAGATTATTCTGCCACATTGATGAACAGTTGGCTAAACCATTCATGTTCTTTGATGCATGCACTTAGTTTTCCTTGTAGTTCTCATCAGTCCTCTTCATAGTGCCTCTAGGCAGTTGTGTTGGTGATAAATACCAGCAGGTAGTATGGGAAATGTTTCCTTTTGTGACTGGTCACTTTGAAATCAATAGTCTTCAAAGAAATTGCCATAGTATTTCTTTTATCAGATTCTTATTTTGACTAGCTTAATATAAATAAAATTGCAAATATAAAACAAAAGAAAAATAGCATTGACATTTCTTCCCATGAGAAGAACAGTTTAGGCAGATGCAAGCCCAAGTTTTTCATTTAAACCTTCTCCTCTGAAAAGCAGTGTGAGTAGATTCTAACGAGTTTGTTTAACACTAGGTGCAGTATCTTTACACTAGGTCCAGGTTGTAATGCAGGCATTCTTTTCATGTATTTTCCTAGTTCTGAGAATTGTCTTAAAACCTTAATTATCAACAACTGTCAGCATCACCAACCATTTCAGCACAGATTAGACATGCAATTGCTTCTCTCTAGGGCAGCCTCACAGAAGATTCAGCTGAATCATGTTTTCTCACTTAGTTGCTGCCAGTGATGTACATTAAAATGACTTCTATGAAAAAGAACTTTTAAAAATTTAACTCCTAACTATTGCTGAAATGATCATTGTGGTGCCTCATTATTTTAATGACTGTTTTAATTATTTAATACAAATGTCTCCAGTTTAATTGCACTGAAACAACTTCGAAATTTTTTGAACTGGACAATTCTTCTGACTTCTCACTTTACTCTGAGATAGATATTTTTAAGAAAATCAGCAATTGCATAATTTTTGAATAGTGTGCCATGTCACTTGTGGATTGCATTGCTTCTCATCACGTATATATTTTTTTTAATTTGTTTTAAAAATCGCTTCCATTTTCTTTGTCTTAAGAAAATGTAAGAATTCAGAGCTATTGTATATGACCAGATAATACTATGCCTTGCAGCAAACTAAAATTTATAATTCAGATTGTTTCACCATCCCTTAAATAACACACACAAAAAATTAAGAAATATAAATCTAAGCATAAGGAAAAATAGAAAATTTAAGAATCAATGACCCACTAGTTAGAGAATATCAGAATTAAGCATTTTCCTCTATGATTATACAGTCTTAATTAGTCAATCTTTAATAGAACACCTGTTTTATGAACTCTGTTTTTACTTTTGCTTTATTGGGCTGCATTTTTTTAACATTTGTTTCAAGTAATTTCATGTGTAAGATATACTCAAAGCCCAAAATGGAGCTGCAATTCATGGTACCTTTTTCTGAGAATGTCAATAAACTGCAGAAGGACAAACAATCTGGAGGAAGACATCACAAAGGTGTCTAAAATCATATATACTTAGGAAGAATAAAACTTGTAATTTCTCAAGAGATTTAGTCAAGATAGCAAGAAAACATAATAGTATAGAAATGCTTGATACTTGCTTGCAAGATTCTCTAGGCACAATTGCAGAAGAAGGAAGGGATTGCCAATTTGGAGGTTTAATGGTTTATGAGGCAAGCCTGGCAATGGCTGTGGATACATTGTCACTAAATTCTAAAACAACTCTAAAAACTTTTGAATCATGCAGTAAGAATCTTCTTTTTCTCTTCTTTTTTTTTTTTTCTTTCCTCTTTTCTCCTATCCTAGACACCAATCACTGTGACATTTAGATTAAAAATCCAAATGTAAAAAAAATTACCACCTTACTGAGATAGTTGTCCCCTGCTGAGTCTCACAGCCCCTTCGGCACTGAGGAATCGACAGGTTTGACACAGTCTGACATGTGACAAGATGCTGCAATTGACAGATTGCTAATCTGCTGAGCACGATGTGCCCTGAAGTCCCAGCCCATAGAGGGGTCATCCTTCAAAACCTGGCGGCAGAATCAATGATTTTGGCAGGATTCACATGATTTTGCTGCAGTATTTCGAGTTTCCCCAAAACCTGAAGCTCTGGAGTGGAGGTGTGCTGCAAGATCAGTGGTTTATAATGTTGTTATTTGACAAAAAGCAATTTTATGCTTTTAAGGTCATGTGTAAAAAAATTATGTCAGTAGGAGTCCAGTTTTTTTTACTTTCAGCAACATTGACTGTAGTGAGGAGGGAATGGAGCTGTTTGATGTGGTCCTGATGTCCTTAAAGGCCCTTTGTGTCCCAAAGCTAAGGAGGATCAGAACTGTTAAAAAGAAGATAATATTCAATTAGTTTATTTTTTAAGTTCTTTCTCCACAGCAGACATAAGTTTGAGAGCCAGTTGTTCACGTTCTTCATCGCAGTAGCCTTCAAATGCTTCACGGTGGGTTGCATGTAGGTACTGGGATTTTCATGTCATCTCAGCTGGTGATTTTTTACTACTTCTTAAGTGAGTGGACAGCATCTTAATGCTGTAAGGACTGGATTCAGTCACTCTCTGGCAAAAAACCATTCTCACATACCTAAAACTCATATGACCACAAAGTCAACTTTCATGGTCTTTCATGTCAATTCATGTTGTGTTGCAATGCTATTTTGACAAGGTTATGTGTCAAAGTACAAATATATATGCTGGTCATTAGTCAGGAGTAAACTCCTCAGAACTACATTCTACTGCAGTTTTGTAATCACATAGGCATGATTTTGTTCCCAAGAGCAATTTAGTAATGGCTTTTAAAATCTTGTATTCTAGCTTGCCAGTGTAATGGCCACAGCACTTGCATCAACAGTAATGTCTGTGATCAATGTAAAAACCTAACAACAGGAAAACAGTGTGAGACATGCATGCCAGGATATTATGGGGATCCCACAAATGGAGGACAGTGCACAGGTAAGTCCTTCTGCAGGGAGGTGAAAAAAAATCCAAATAACACTTTGTGTAATGTGTATTTAAACTGTTTAATGTAACATGAAATGAACTTTTCTTTAAAGGCTAAAAGTTTATTTACTAGTACAAATGAGTTGATCAGCTGAATTAATGATTCAAAATTCGATTAATGCTTTTAAAGAGAAACTTTGCCTTCAGAGTCATCATTTTACAGTTGTTTGGTCTGGATGCTCTAAGAACAACATGTTCTCCCAGTTAGGGAAAGGAGGAGAAAAAAACTTGTGGCAGCAACACCTTAAATCCTGTTGTTTCAGAGACATTTAAGCAATCCTGTTAAGAGCGGTGAGAAGGTACTCATAAATAAAGTTCAGTATCTGTCATAATGTCTTATAGCACCGGTTTGTATAAATATGTAATGCTAGTGGAAATATTATGCATTTAACAGACCAACAAGTCTTATTCATGTAGAGTTGAAACAAAAAATCCTGGTAATGCTGAGGGTTGTCAGGTACCCTCACGTTTTCCATGTTTAGTTTGGTAAGTGCTGCATTGGAGGATTCTCCTTGAAGTGAAAGAGGGAATAAAGTCCAGTACTCCAGATGTTTTTTGTGTGTTGCCATAGGGCTGCTTTTTCACTTGCATGAGTGATTTTAAAGTTGACAGTAGCTCCTTCCCTTAAAATTAAATGGTGGAAGGAGAAATATATTCATCCAGTAAGAAAAGTCATTAAGACAGGTGACTTTGAATCTAGAAGGGGTGGTAGTAAGTTTTGCTCCCTGACTTTTTGTTCTCCATTACTATTGTTTCTTTAACTAGAGCTTTGCTTCTCAAAGAATATTTATTCATACAAAGGGTTTGTTTGTTCCTCAGCACTCATAACGTGCAGTAGGCAATGCATAAAGCTTCACATCTGGTAAACTCAGGCACAATATGTAAAAATTGTGTTCAAGGGGATGGAAAGATTAATGCCTACTCCTATTGACAATTGAACATTTTGCTGGTGCTTTATGATGCTTTAAATAATTCTTAATAGTTCTCTTTTTTTCCTGAAGTTGACAAAATGTTCTTTTGCTGTCTGTATCACCTTTATGGCAAAATGATGTATTAATACAGCTTTTATTCTTCAGGGAAACATTAGCTATCAACCAAATAAGCATTCCATCACCTTTAGTGAAATATGTGTGGTGCAATAATGGCTAAAATCAATTTATAAGACCAGTAAAATTATAAATTTTACAACTTGTTTTTTCAAACCTAGTCTGTAAGAGTGCATATTTTTATTTGTAGACATGATTTTAACAGGAGCTGTTTAGACTCAAGAATGCTTTAAAAATTAAAAATTATAATTATTTGGAGGCTTTATCTGCATTGGTATATTGTATTTTGTAGTATAGAACCCATAATAAATATGTTTACATCTTTAGGATTTTTCAAAGTATGTAGACATGAACTGTTCCATTTTCATCAGTATCCTGATTGCTGTGATAGAGGTGCTCAAATTGTGGGGCAGGGATTTCTGCAGGCAAAAATACCAGTGAGCCATAAATAAGCCAAATCAATGTTACTGGGATTTAAGAGGATATTGGAACCATAGCTGGGATCTGGCATTGTGCAAACAGAGAGAGAAAGCAATGGATCTGGGTTTTTTTCTCCTTTGTTCTGGTAATGCTTTTGGTAACACAGGAAAAAAAAATATAACCATGATTAGAATAGAAATATATAGGGTAAAAAATATGAATGGAAGAAAGGGCAACCCAGTCAGAAGCTCAGCTTAAGTGTGACTGAAATAAAGAGAATACAAGATGGGAAATATGAAATAGTGAATCAAAGGACAAAAAATAATGAAAAGCTAAAAATTACCCAAACGGTCATCCTCATAGTTCCATCTTGTGTCACTTTGTTGCTGCCAGCTGAGTTTCTGACTGGATCCGACCAAATTCTCTTTTCTACTAAGACTTGGCCTGCTGTGTGGTGGCTGAGGCTGCATGAAAATGTGGTGCATTTTTTCCTCAGAGCTCCTGAGTAATTTATTTGAGGATCCAGATGCAAAACCTTTTAAAGGAATGACAAGATAATGACTATAACTTTTAAATTATATCTGTAATACTATAAAATTATTCATATATCAAGTTGCTATAGGTGCAAGGGCATAACTTGATTAAGAACTGGGGAGCAGTTGAAGCTGGGAAAAGAGGTTGTACTTGATTTCTACCATGGAAAGGTAAAGTGACATCCAATGGGAAAAGAAACTAAGAACCATTTTCCTAATGTACAATAATTTTTTCCCAGTGTCCTGACAAATGTACTTCTCTATTCAGTACACGTATGTTTTCAGCTGTCACAATGTATGTGAATAAAATCTGACCTCTGGCATAGTTTGACTGTCAGTGATACAGAGTAAAACATTTTGCAAGAAAAACTTCCTTTTCTTTCATAGGCTACATTAGCCTTTATTGTTCTTTAGATCACTGATGATCTTGAAAGGAAGGAGAAGGAGATGTATAGCAGCCCTTTCAGTCCTTGGAAAAATTTTTTTTCCTCCTTAACTATGCCAATCATTTCCTAAATCATTTCTGTTTATAAATTCTAGGAGGTCATGCAAAAAGCTCTGAAAGAAACTGACTGTCCACCTCTGAGTGATCAATTCTGTTCTGGCCTTTCTCCAGGGATGGAAAATTTTGTAACTTTTTGTTTTTTCACCTTTAGTAAAAACAATGGCTTCACAGCTGTCATCAGATAACTGATAGATTCTTAGTGGTACTGTGTACTGTTATGCTATCAAATTACTAAGGAATGAGTAACAGTTGTTATAGGAGAAAGATATAATTCATGTTTCAAAAGGTTTTGAATAGTTGAGATTAAAGTATGAATAAAAAAATTGACTTTTCTGGATTTTCACCCACTGTAGTTGCTAACATTTCAATAGCTTTAAAACAGATCTAAGGACTTGCTTTGCATCCAGATGTGATGCAGGCTTAGTAAATGTGACAAACCTCAAAGAAGGACAAAGAAAAGATGGAGGCATAATAACAGGCTTCAAATGTGTGAAGGGAAACTGAAAAGTGCCTTTCCCTCTGCCCCCGTTTTGGCTGGGGAGAGGAAGAAATCAGATCAGGTAGCAATAAGGAAGGTTAAGGTGGAATACAAGGAAAGCTTTCTGCTGGTTAAGCTGTAAAATTGCCTAAAGATGTTATGAAATCTGCTTTATCACTTGCACTATTATTTTTAAATTTCCAAACATTTCTAGCTTTGGAAAGGGGCAGTGGACTGGCTGATTCCACATGTTTTTCTCCAGTCCTAATTTTCTAGAGTTTTGGAGCCTGAGATCTGGAAAGCAGGGGAAGTATTGAGCAAAGATGAAATATTCTGATTGTAAGAGAAAATGATGCCTATATAGCCAAATGACTGTGGATATTTACCAATGAGTCCTTAATGTTACTTAGATGTTATGAAGTTGCATACTACTTATTTTCGAATTTCTGTATTTTTTGTTATTGTGGAGTTAAAAGACTTTCCAACTCTTTACAACAAGTGTAACTGATGCTCGCTCTGGTCTATTTTTGTCAGAAGTGTGCTATGCTGCTTGATGATGAGCAATAGGTTGACAATGATAAGGTTTGGAGTTTCAGACCAAGTTCCATTTCTGTTTAAACTTTTTATCTGACTAATCTTGAGTGCAAACCTATGAGCAACTCTTGGAGTGCTAAATGCAGTGTTGTCAGTCTGTGCCAGAAATACTTAAGGAATCAAACCCTCTAGTGAACAGAATAAGACACACTCTGTGTTGTGGTGAAGATTAGACAAGAGATGCACAGCTCAGCCTTGTTTGAGCAGTTAAAGCTATCCAGATGTGAGGCATCTGGGAAGCCTTTTAGTCTGAGGTGTTTAAGGACAGATATTCCAAATCACTTTGATTTAATTTTTCTAAATTCTGCTCAAGGCCCATTTGAGGCACAATTTTGAAGGCATGAATATCTCAATTCAGTAATAAAAAATTAATCATTAAATATGTATGGATTTTGGAAATAAACCAGCTTTGACTATAGATGGGACCAGGTCTTGGCTTTCTGTCTCGGTGGTTTCTGTTAGTGTTTTGTTTTCATCAAGGTCTTGTTCTGTTATGTACTGCATGTCTAGGAAATATGCAATTTTTCAAACTAGAAATTCTAGAAAAAATATTTATATGTGTACTACAGACTTCAGCATAAAGTACCATGTTAAAACAGTATGGGAGATTGCTTGGAATAATTTTGTTTCATCTTAGCAACATTTCTTAGCATTATTTTCAAACTTATTAATCATCGACTTAGTTGTCAATGTTAAAAAAATTGCTCTAGCTGCTTATCATCTTGTCATTTTCTTTATGCATGGTATTTTAAAAAATTATCCTTACAATTTATGAGATGTCAGGAAAAAATTCTTTACAGTAACTTATGACACATACCATGAATGTATAATGCATTTAATAATAATAATATAACGTAAGCATTTTGCTGTATTGCCATTTTTTCCACAAAGTGATAACATCCCAAGCAGTGTTCAGTTTTCCCATAATTGTACTGTCATTGTTGTTGCTTTTGCAGTAGCAGGAAGACTCTGAGAACCAGCACAACAGGAATATTGTGTTTTAACTTGCACTTCTTGTTCTCTAAGCATCCTTAAAAGGCACTATGTCTAAGACACTGATCACCACCCTGCAAAAGTCTCCTACCAGTCAGGCTGTTGAGGTGGAGTTTTTAAAGCAAGTCTGCAGCATTTGTATTGCCCTTATAGATCTGTTCCTTTCTCTGCTATCCCATATTGGACATTTCCAATATTACAGGCAATAGCTTCTCTCCACACTTGCTTTGTAATCATTCTGTTTGAAGATATTAAAGTAATTGTTTACTGTAAATGTTTAAATTCTTACTGGATCCTCAAACTATTATCAAAAGTGAACATGTTTCTAGTGAGTACACATCATGTGTGCATCTATCCTGTAGCTGCAGCCAGGTGTGAGGTCT